AATTCAATTCCACAAGAAACACCTAAACGTGGAGAAATGTTTAATCATTTTATTGACTCATCTACTTGTAAATCTGATGAACAACTAAAATCACAACCCCCATCGTCTCAGTTATTTTCTGTAGCACAAACACCTCATAACTATCATGCATTACCACCAACTCCTCCAAAACAGCAAAATTATCCAACACCACCACCTCAAGATGAGATTATTTTTTGTAAACCACCAGCCCTCCCTCCAAGAAGAAGTGTTTCAACAACTCAAGCTATACCAACAGTCCCTTCAAGAACGTACCCAACAAAGAATAACAGTAAACAATTGGAACAACAAACTAAAATAACAAGTGGACGTGCCAACTTGTCTTCTAGTCTAACATCTCCTAGAACTATTGAAAGAACTGAACCAACAAATAAGAGACCATTACCACCTGTACCAAATAAAAGAACCAATTTCAAAATTAATTATTATTAATTCTAATTGTTTTTTATTTATTTCAGAATTGGTTAATTGAAAAAGAAGTATAAAATTTTAATTATTCATTTCTTACCAAATAAAAGGAATCAAGCGATAGCGAATAGGGAATTTCTTAAAAGTCTTTTTGTAAGCATCGTGCTGATGTTGTGATAACATAACCATAGCCACCCAATTTAAAATACATAAAATAATTGATGTTTTTGTAAATGAAGTACAAAACATAAAGGAAGTAAAGAAAAGTCCCTCAAACAAGTTGTTAGGGCAAGAGATAAAAGAGTATAATGCCTTGGATGGGAAATAAGCTAATTCACCAAAAGCATTATAACCTTTTGAGAGGTAAGTATGATGGAAATATAATCCCATTATACAACTTATACAATTAATTGCTCCAATAATTGTGCAGAGAATACTTGTTTCATTTTTTCTATAACAAAGTTCAAATGAGAGCATTGCACAAATCAATACACCAGTAATTGCAGTGGAGATTGCTCTAGTTAGTCCAACAGTAGGTTTAGCTGGATAATCAAGGAATAATGAAAATAAGGATTTAAAGACTAAATAAACAATCATAATAATACATGATATCATAGCAGTAGACTCTGTAGTTTCTTCTGATGAAGGGATTGATGGGTGTGTTGAAAAGTAAACTAATAGTATAGCACAAATACTATAGATTGCGTTTGAAGGGAATAATAACGATGAATGAAGTTGTGGTGGTAAAACGTTAACTTCTATTTTACAGTGATCAGTTACCTTATAACTATTTAGTGTATGACTATTACAATCCAATACAATACCATTACATTTTAATTCTAATCTATCAACTGAAATATTGATAAGGTTGTCAATTTTGTTCTTTAAATTAGCAACAATTTCTGTTTCTTCAACAGTAATAGGGTATTCTTTATCTTGATAAGTGATAGTCAAGTGCATATTTCACTGAAATATGAGTTCTAATAACTCAGTTTGAAGAAAAGGTTGAAAGAAAGAAAAAAATTAATTTATTGTAGCTTTCTTTACTTTTAACTTCCTTCATTTTTAACTTCAATAAAATATAACTATGTTATACATAACAATAAATTAATTTTCTATTTCCATTAAATTTTGGTTTTTCCATTGTTGACGACATACTGGACAATTGGTATTTTTTTCAAGCCAAGTATCAATACAGTGTTTGTGAAATGTATGTCCGCACTCTCCTACTACTGGAGGACATTGTTCTCCAGGAAAAGTACAACATGGACAACAATAGTCAAGAGTGGACTGACAAAAACAACACGTATCTTCAGGTAAATCCCAAGACCACGATGATATTTCATTCCATTCAACTATTTCTACAGTCATAAAGAAGTATTTGATTAACCAGTTTCTTCAAAAATTTTCGATGAAAAACTTGTGAAACTAAAAAGGATTTATTATATAACAAAGATTGTAGTGTACAAAGAATTGTCACAACATACAAATAATGACAAAGGAATTATTTAATGCTCAGTAGTGAAGATGATACTATTACATAATCAAAAATAAGATTTAATTATAGACAATTATATAATAATGAAAATAAAGACTTTTATAAGTTTGATAACAATTATTCTTTTATTTAATAAAAAAACTATTTTTTATAAAGGGGGGACTATGTTTATTATTATTTAAACAATAATCTAAATACAAACAGAGCTTTCGTCAAAGTCATAGTATTATCATTGATGCAGTGAGAGTAGTATAAAAAAAGAAAATGTTGAGATAATAGACTGCTCAATTATTATTTAAAACAAACACTATAGTCTCCCGAAGTTTATAATGTAATTATGTCTTTTTTAAAACCTTTACACTTATATAATAATGAATTTCTAAATAAATTTATCAACTTTAATAAAAGGAAAAACTAAATTTTAACTTTTTATTTGTAAAAAATGATAAAATTTATAAAATAGAGTGTGATTTGCTTTAATACTTTAGTTTTTTATATTAAGGAAAGAATTGATTTTTATATGTTATATTTAAATAAACCTAAAAATTAATTACCCAATCAACACTTCCAAAAATAATACTAATAAAAAAAATAATTGTTTCAATAATTAATTGAAAACTAAAAATAGTTTATTTAATAATAACAAATTACTATAAAAAATAATAAAATATAATAAATTGACTTTACATCTTAAAAATAACATGCCACATGAAGCTTTGTCAGCAAAAAGGGAGAGGGATATTTGAGTGAAAAAAAGAACTGAAATGTATAATGACTTACGGTTTCCCAAAGATATCTTTCTTTATTGGTTTATTATTAACCGGTCTTATTGTTGCACAAATTATGTTACCAAAAGTACCACAACTTCAAAGTGACAGTGCAATGACTGCCTCAATTCAAGTAAAAGTAAATTCAACAATGTGCTCTGGAAAATATCCAGCCACTATTCAAAATATGTTAAAACAATTCCCTGATATCGACTCTAATATTTTACTTATTATTGGAGCTTCAGCAATTGCTTTAACTTTCTTATTTAATTTGATTCCACAAAATGGATTCTTTTCATGGGCTTTAATACATTTATTCACTCTTTCCTTTATTGTAACTGCCTTTGGAGCATTTTATTTATTCTCATTAACTCCATCAACTACTTGTACTACAGTGAAAACAATGATTTTAAATACTAAACAAAATGCAACTATTTTTGAATTCATTAAAAATAACGAAATTACTAAAAAACTTGTTTCATTTATTCCACATTATATTATGGATAAAATCCATATCTTTGCTGGTGTCTTTGTTGAATGTGTTAATAAGCTTGGTGTTACTGCTCCAATTTTTGTTATTGTTATTGCTTTCTATTTAATTAATAAAGAAACAAGATCAGTTACTAGATTTGAAGTTCTTGCACTTATTGGTTTAATTGTATCTGCTATTTCTGCTCTTGGATACTATAAAGCTACTTCTGATTATGTCTTTGCTGGTGTATTTACTATTGCAAGTATTGTATTAGCTCTTATTGTTGTTAACCTTGCATTGAATTTCGGTTATATCTTTGTTTCACCAGCATACTTATTCGGTTGTTATGTTCTTAGTTACAGATTACTTGGTCTTTGCCTTCATTTCAAAATTCCATTTGAATTACAAATTGCTGTTGGATTCTTTGTTTTCTTATTTGCCAATACTTTCATTTGGACTAAGAATGGAACTTATTTGACTGTTGTCTTCTTACTTAACTATGGTTTGTCTACACTTTGTCCACTTCCAGCTGATTCTTTAATAGTCCTTGTTTTCCTTCTTTACATTTTCACTTATGAATGCTGCAAATGTAAGAAAACTTGCAAGAAGGTAGTTAAACAAAAAACTGATTAATAATTAAATTATTCAATTTAATTATTGTTTATTATTTTTTTGTAAATTTCTCTTTGGATTTGAAAGAAACACATCAGAGAGATACTTTACAAAACCATAAAATATTTCTATGCATTGAATCATCAATTATAGTCTGACTATAACATTACATTTTGTTAGAAAACATCTGTATAGTGATTGTTATTTATATTGATTGAATAATATTTATATAATAGTATTAATTACTTGTTATGATATATAAGTATATTTGTTAATATACATACTATCAATGAAAAACTATCTGTTGTTATGGTTGATGTTAAAATCAAAATTAGTCATAATAGTATAATGACAATGATGTGTTCTTCTTAAAATATGAAAGTAAATAATGAATTTTAATACTCATTAAAATCTGATAATAACTTAAATGATGAATATTTAAATGAGAGATATCTGAAACACTCTATTCCACAATAAATAAAGAAATGAAGTTGTCAAATTTCAAGAACTAAAAACTATGAATAAACTAATAGATAATGAACATACGATGTTCAAACGAATAATCTTCACTGAATAATGATCAATAGAAAATAAAATTATTAACATTTAATAACTATAACTACATTTTATTTTGTAAATTTCTCTTTTATTTCTTTTTAAACTAAGTTTGAAAATTTATTAAAAACAATTTATTTTAAGTCATTAAAAAGGTAACTTTTATAATAGAAATGGATGTCTTAAACTTATAAAACCATCACCATTCAATGCAGATAAATTGTAACTGAATACTTATTATTTCGTTCACCTGTTTATTTTAACTTTTTCAAGACTCTATTGGATTTAACTTTTAAATCATAAATAACAAAGAAGAAATAAGTAATTAAGATATAACAAATGATAATAATCAATCAAAAACAAAAAAATGATTAAAGAAAAATTCAAATAGACACAATAAGAGAATACTTATGTTCTTTCACCTCTAATTCTTCTAGCAAGTTGCATATCTTTTGGCATAATAGTGATTCTCTTAGCGTGAATAGCACACAAGTTGGTATCTTCAAAAAGTCCAACAAGATAAGCTTCAGCAGCTTCTTGAAGAGCAGAAATAGCAGCTGATTGGAATCTTAAATCACTCTTTGATACTTGAGCAATTTCTCTTACAAGAGCTTGGAATGGTGCTTTTCTTAACAAAAGCTCAGTAGATCTTTGTAAGACTTTAATTTCAGTAAGAGCAACAGCACCTGGATGTGCTCTCTTCTTCTTAGTACTATCCTTTGATAACATCTTTTTAGCAGCTTTGAATGCTACATTCTTTACAGCTTTAGCTGATTTGTTGCTTGGTCGTTCAATATGTCCTTTAGTTCTGGCCATTGTGTTAGTAAACACAGTATTGATATATTCAGTTCATTTCTATCTTTAAATATTCTTCTCTTTCTTAATTTTTAGGGTTTCTCTTTTTCGAAGACATTTGTAAATTTTTCTCTTTTCTTCATCTTTTTCTCTTTTTTTATTTCTAGTTTTATGCTTGTTTCTTATAATTTTTATTATTATTTTATTTTTAATATTTAGGGTTTCTTAGGTTTTCTATATTAGATAAAAGAGAAAAAGTTATATTAATAACACAAATTTATAGTTCTTTTTATAACAATATATTATTTATTCTACAAAATACTTGGTAATAGAAAATTGATAAGTATCAAAAAATTGAAATATTGTATTATTAAATATATTTAATTCAACAGCTATTAATTCAATTCTTTCTTATAAAAAATGGGTTGAGTTTCCCTGAAGTAGAACTAAGTTTCTTTTTACTTGCATTAAATTTTCTCTGTGAAATTAAAAAGAAATTAAAGTAATATCAAAAACTTAAAAAAAATAAAATAAAAAGACAGAAATAAGTCTTTTCATTGAAATTAAATTTTTTATTATAATTTTGAAAACTAATCTTAATTCTATTATTATAAATAATTTACATAATAATATTATTAATTTAAAATTAAAATTATTAGAAGAATAATACTTTTAAATAAATATAAAATAGTTTTATAATGATATATTCTTCTAAACAATTTAGCTTAAAAAAAAACAAGTCTAAACAATGAATAAATAATTTATTAAGAATATTGAAACTAAATTTACAGTGTTAGTTAGAAGCTGTAAATCAATAAGTCTCCAAATTTGATAAGGAAATTACATAAGGCGTTAGACCCAAGGTCATAATAAATAAGATTAACAAGAAAATAAATTAGAATGAGTAATATTAAAAGATGTAAAAATATAATAACACTATTTGAGACTTTTAATTTTTTTAAAATATTAAAAATAAAAGTTGTTGATATAATAAAAAGAGATATGAAATGGCTATAATTTAAAAAAGAAGTTACAAGAAACAACAAAATAATCAAGAGAGTTTGATAAGAAATTGGGTTGTGTTTCTTTTATTATTAAAAAAGAAAAAAGAAATACAAAAAGGGGTTAATAAAAATTATAATAAAATTTAAAAAGAAAATGAAGAACTAAAAAGAAAATAAAAATGAGTGAACGACACGAATATTCATATAAAAATAAATATCAAAAAGTGAGAGAAGATATTGTAGAGAGGAAGTCGAGAATACTTTTTGTTCGTAATATTTCTTTTAATGCTAATGAAGAGAGTATTAGAAAATTATTTGAGAAATACGGAGAAATTAAAAAGGTGTTCTGTCAAATTGAGAATAGAGGAATTGCATTCGTTACTTTTGTTTGTTTTTCCAAGGCTCATTGTTGTTTTTAGTATGAGCCATAACATAAATATTTCATAATAATATTTTAGTATGACATTCGTGATGCAATAAAAGCCCATGAAGAATTAAATAAAAAAGAAATTGATGGAAGGCCTATCAAAATTCATTATTCATTACCTAAAGACAATGAAATTAATAAAACAGATAGTCTTGAGAATCATGTTTGTTTTCTTTCTTACAAATTATTAATAAATAATTTTATTTAAAGTAATTGAATTAATAATAGTTAGGCAAATTTATATGTCATTCTTCGTGGTTTTCAGAAAATACCTACTAACGATGAAATCTTTCATTATTTCGAAAAATTTGGTGAAGTCTCTGAAATTAGAGATTCAGCTGATAAACCTAATATTAAATTCATTGAATATTATGATTCAAGAGCTGCTGTTAAAGCACTTGAATCTTCTAATAACGCTCAATGGAATGAAGGAACTATAGAAGTAAAGTACGCATCATTTTCTAAGTTTGTTTAAAGGTATTCTTCTATAAAAAATAAATAATCTCTCTTATAACTTAGAAAAGATCTTGAACGTATTGTAGAAACAAAAAACCAATTAAAAAAATTAAAACATGACCACCTCGCAAAAGACAGAATTAAAGACTACCCAAAATATAGATCACCTGGTTCTTCTCCAAAAACAATACCACCTTATTCTATTTATCCTTCTACATATCAACCTCCTTATACATCTACATATCCTTCTCAGTACCAATCTCCTTATGTTAGTTATCAATACCCACCTCAATACTATCCACTTTCTGTTCAAATCCAACCCCCAAACAACCATTCCTCTCCTTCAGTTCCTCAACTTTATCCTTCAATCCCTCCTTATTATCAACAACAAAACCCAGCCACACCTAAGGTACTACCTGAATACTCAAATTCACAAAAACAACAGTTTGTACAGTCTTCACCTCAACAACCATCCCCATCACAAACTCTTCAACAAACTTCTAACTCATCTGATGACAGAAAACAGAGTGAGCCAAATACTCAACCAACATACAACCCTTATTTTTCTTCACCACCTGTCCAAACAAAATCTGAACAATCGTGGAAATCGGACACTAATCCATATAAATGAGTATTTTTAAATAAATTTATTACTTTTTGTTTGTTAATTTTAATAAGTTAAAAAAAAAACGAATTTCATTTATCCAAAACATTTGCAATTAATTTTTCTTGTTAATTGGCATTCCAATTGATTCAAGCATTTTGAGAGTAACTGGATCAGCAGTGATCTTGTCAATATTAACTTCAGACTTTTCTGGAACATAATTATCTCTTCTTTCTCTTTCTTCCTCTTGAAGTTTGAAAGAAATTCCTCTTACTGGTCCTTTTTGAATTCTTCTCATCAAATGAGTAATGAAACCAGCAATTTTATTTCTTAATCTTTTGGTTTCAACAACAGCGACTTCATCAACAACACGCTTATTAGTATGGAAATCAAGAGTTAAGAGTGGGTAATACTTTTCAATAATATTTCTAGCAGCTCTTTTAACTGTCTTAGTTCTGACTCCTCCCATTACTTGTAAATCAGTTGAATTATGAAGTTCAAGAAGAAAATGAAAAACCTTCTTCAGGGTTTTAACTGTAATAGTTTTGTTTTAATAAATTTTTAAATAAGAATAGTGTTATAGAAATATTAATGAGATCTTTGAAAAGAAGAACCATTAACCAAAAATTTTAAGTTCACATCTTGTATTCTATCAATTATTCAAAAGATGCCAAATGGAGTCATTATTGATGAGTTAGGAAATGTTTGGAAAGTTACTTTATGTTTTGTTTGGGTTATTTGTTTGGTTCTTGGTATATCTTTTTCTTTTGGCCAAATGTTTGAAATTGGAATTATGTCTAATTCTACTACGTTTAATATCGGTTCGTCATTTGATAGAGATGACACTGTTGCTTTTGTCTCTTATATTGGTAATGAAAAAAAAATAGAAGGAGTTGTTGATTCATTCAGTGGTATGAATATTGTTAATAAAATTAAAGAAGATAAAGTTGATGAAATTGAAAATGAATTGAATTCTATTAGAATAAAATCATCTCTTGTTTCTTTAGAAGAAGATGAAATTAGTTCATCATTAAGTGAAGGAGAAGACATGTACTATTTCTTTGATGTAGAATTTTTAATGGAAACATACAACCAGTTTCAAGCTACAACTTGTAAGCCATATGTTAAAACTGATTTAAACCATCAATCAGTAGATAAAATAACAATTTATGGAAATGCTACTTTTTGGTGGCTAGATCATCCTGAGTTGAATTCTCTTGATAACATTAATAAACCAGTCAAATTTGAAACACAATGTTCATTCACTGTTTGTTTTTATTAAACTAAATTAATACATATTTAAAATACTTATTAAAATAGGGAGGAGAGTGTAATAGATTTAGTTTTATTTATTTGAGAAATGTCTTCAATTCATCATATGCTTTTATTTTCTTCTTTAAAGCTGGAATTTATAATACTTTAGTAATGGATTCTAAAAGAGGAATTCCAGGGTATTCATTATTTAAAATATCATTTGTTACTTTCTTAGTAATTTTATCAGTTATAGCTACTGTACTATATTCTTTTTTATATTTCTTTATGAAGTTATATAAAAATGATGAAGACCATTTTTATATTAGCAGTTTTATTATGATTATCTTATTAAATTTTTATAACAACCCATTCAATATTCTTCGATTCTTCTTTAATGCTGATTGGATATCATGTATTGATACTTGTATATATACTATATATCAAATTGTTTTAGTTTCATTTATTTTTTTACATATCGATCATTCCAGAAATGTTTGTTGTTAAATTAATTATTATAAAAGATTTATGTATTATTCACAAACAAGCAAGCATTAGGAAAGAAGAGTAGTGTTTTAATATGGATATTAAGAGCTACAGGATTTATTGCATATTTTGTATTTTTCTTATTGTATTTCATTTTATATTATCTTCCATCAAACAAATCACCATTTTCTGTAGTCGATGATACTATGTCTATTGGCCTTATCTTTGGTGCATTATCAACTTTTACTTGTTTCTTATTATACGGATGGACATTGATTTATATGTTGTTTACTTACTCTGAAATACGATCACCTCTTTATAAAAATAGAATTTTTTGGTTTAGTATCTTTACTAGCGTAGTTTTAATAGTTACCCTTCTTCACTTGATTTTTGGTCAGGATATGAACTGCTTACCTCGTTTGTTATTCTCATAAAGTCTTTTTTTGTTGTTAAATGAATAATGGTTAATTATTGTTTATAGCCATTTCTATGATTTGCAGACAGTTATTGTGTAATTTGTATGTTTACACATTAACATTTATTTTCTTCCCAAAAGAAATTTCTAATGATGACGAATATGGTATTACTGCTTATACCCAATTTTAATTTTATTTCTCAACCATTCATATCTTCTTTTTCTAAAAAATCAATTTACATAAAATCCCAAACATTTATTTTACAGTCAGAACCTAAAGAAGCGTATAATGGATCTGCATGTGATGAAAATCCTGCAGTACTTAACAATCTACCTTCATGTCCATCAAATCTTTTTAATACATTCATTTGATAGTCTAGTTGTATGAAACCATTTGAAGGGTATCCAAGAGCAACAAGTATATATTCTTGTTTTTCCTTATAATCAATAGATACTACCTGTGCACCAGTTTCAATACACCTTCTTTCATCTGTAAGATAATTCCATGTTTCAATTGTCCTATCACGTATCCCTCCACCAGATAATATTACATTATTTCTATTAATTTCAAAACATAGAGCTTTAACAGCAGATTTGTGGAAATAATCAATGTTAATTGGAATGTTATTGAAACGTATATCATAGACATACACAATATGGTTACTAGTTCCAATACAGATAGTATTATCATTTATTACCAATCCACAAACTTCTCCTTCAAATAGTGTTGATGATATAGATTTATCAAATGATATTCTTCGGTCAATAAAATTAAGCTTCTTGTCTTTACTTCCAGTTACAATCATATTTTCTCTACAAATAATTCTTCCTATTCTGTCATTATGGATTTTTGCTTTATGAGAAACCACATTCTCTTCTAAATCAATTTGGTATAATGTCCCATCACAGTCACCAAGAATAACTGTTTTTTTTCCTTCTTTCTTTACACAACTTACTGAATATAACTCATTGGTAGGAATTAATTGGCAACTCTCATTAGTTATAACATTAACAGCAAACACAGAATTGCTTAACCCAACAATCAATGAATTTTCAATCCAATCAATACAATTAAAATAGAATTGATTAACAACTCCTTCAACATATATTTCTTTGTATAATGAATTAGTAATTATTTGTTTTTTTGTTCGTTTATTTTTTAAACTTAGTCCAACCCAATCTTCAATATCTCTTCCAATAAAATCATCACCAATCAATGGATTGATGGAGAGTTTTGAATTTCTTGATTTGTATTTGTAAAATTCATTTGAGATTTTTTCATTTTCACAAAACTTTTGTAGGGAACATTGAAATTTATTTATAGGATAAATTTGAATTAATTTATCCAAGTGATGAAAATCACTTTTCATTAATTTTTTCAGAGAATAATTCTTTTATATTTAAAAAGCTATTCATTAAGTTAAAGAAGATTTTTAAATCTTTCTTTTCAAATAACAAAAAATTAAAAACGAAAAGTAATAACGAAAATAGAAATTATTTTGCAGGACGTCTTGAAAGGAAACTTGTTACTGGACTTCTAGTTCTTTGGAGTTTTTTCTCAATATAAGATGGATTTTCTGGGATTTCACAAGTTATTGATGGGCTGAATATATTAAATTTGTCTTTTTCTGATTGAAGATCTTGATTTGATAAATGATAAAGTGGACAATCAGTTGATGGATTATTTTTGATAGCTTCTATTGCCATCCTGATACGAGTTGGTAATATAACTTTATTTATTGATTCAGGGCGAGGAGTGGGTGTTGAAGGTGGAGGAATTGGGGAAGGTGTCCAGGTGGTAGAAATATGAGAATTGTTTTCAGCAATTTTTTTGTTAATCTTGTGGTCAAAAATAAATGCAGAACGCCCATTATTATTAAATTTATATGAAGAAACAATTTTATCAATTGTTTTTTGACGAAGGATATTACAAGAAATATATGTAGTACAGTCTTGAATAAATAAATGAAGAGCAAAAGTTGGGATTGCACATGATAATGAATTTCCATTTATATAAACATCAGAAATTAAAGTAGTGTTTATCTTTGATATTATTCTAAAAGTATTACATGAGACTGGAGTAATAATAATTACATTCTTACTTAAAATATCCGGAGAATAAGAATGAGTACAATTCCAAATTATTTGAAGATCATATTCTTTTTGTTTTATTGTTTTAAATAACTTGGGACAATCACAAATTAAGTTTGCTTCGTTTGTTTGGACTAAAATAAATTTATCTATATCGGTATGAATAACTGAGGTTTCTTTTTCATTGTACTTTCCTAAGTGTTGAATAAAAGAGATAAAAAATTGCCCAATTTTGTCATGTGGTGGAAAGTCAATAAGAACCTTTGCATTAAAGAAAGGTTGTTGATTATCTAATTGACTTAAATCATTAAGTAATTGTTCATTAACTTCTAATTCAACATCATCTAACCCAATCCCAATAACACATGAATGATATAACCGAGCTCCAAGAACAGGAGAAAATACACTATCATCTTCGTTTGGAATAGAGTCCATTAAGAATGATTTGAAATGTAATTGATAATCTCCTTCTAATTGTTTTGGATATTGACCAGCTTCTTTTGTTGATGAAGAAAAAAAGAGAGGAACTCCTTCAACTCTTTTATCTCCATTACAATGAGAATTAACACTATTCTCTTTTTTTGTTATAATTTGTCCTAATGTACTAACATAATCGGTAGAACTTTCAAATACAAATTTTCCATCACAACTTCTTTCAATAATAGCACATCGCAATTGTGTTTTATCTGTTTGAGGGAGATCAATAAGAGAATATAATACTCCATTTTTATAAACAATTCTTATATGGTCTAATGCTTTGTTGTTCCAATGTTGCATTAATTGATGTTCTTTAATAGAATGAATAGAAAGGATATTATCATTATTTGTTTCAAATAATTCTTTATTAATGAAACTAGTTGAAACATGTTTGATTTGAGGAATAAGACTTGGGAATAATTGACTTAACTTGGCAAATACATCAAACATTGTTTTCATGTATTCTCTTTGTAATGATTTTGCACTAATTAAATAGTCATAAAGTATATATAATAATAAATGAACAAAAACATCAGGAATATTTTGTGGTTTACAACAATAAATAAATTTTTCTAATACAAAGAGAACCAATTGTACTACAGCCAAAGAAAATGGATTTTCACCATGTTTTGGGATATAATGAGTATATTTACATAAGGCATGTAAAATGCCGAAGTACAATTCCAGTTTTTTATAATTAACTTCTTTATCTTTATCAATTGAATACATTCTTTGAATATCAAATAATAATAACCAAGCGAGATGATGAATAGTGTTAACAGTATAAGTATTATAACTAATATTAAAATTAGATGTTTCTGGTGTTATTGGAAGAAATGAAATAAAAAATGTTGTAATAAAATTACAAAGATTAGATAAATTTTCATGGTCCACAAGGTCAGTATTTATTAATTTTCTGATAAGTGTACATAATAATGTTTCTATTTGATCGTCTGAACTAATCATATTTTTTAATTCCATTGTATAGTAAACATTAAAATGAACTAATGAATTATTTAATGTTTTAATAAAACCACGGAAAACCCAAGCGTTTAAATAACCTTTTATTCTTTTATCACTTAATGATGTATTTAAAATACTATCAATTGAACTATAGATTAGTTTAAGAGACAAAGTCAGTCCACTTAATGGATAATTTAATGTTGTTTGAAGATTATCTAAACACGATTTATTTACAAAGAAGTTTAAAGATGAAAGTGATTTTTGAATAGTACTAATTAATAACAAAATATATTTAGGATTATATTGGGTTAGTGGTAGTGTCTCTGCAAAGAATGATAATATATTTCCTATAGAAACACAAATAGCCTCTTCATAAAGATCATGGTCACATGTAAATAATGGTGATGAAGCTACTTTTCCATATAAGTCTAATATAATATTACCATCAACAGGTGGTAGTGATGTTGAATTAACGTTATAATGAATTCTTCGAGAAAGGTCATGCATTAACAAACTAATACCTTCTTGAAAAATTAATGCATTTTCTGAAGTTAATGTATTACAATCAATTCTACTTAATTTAATAAAATAAAGCCAAATTGATTGTAGTGTTGATTGGTTCATTTTAATAATTCTTTCTTCTCCATTATTTTTAATAAAATGAATAGTGGCAATTTCGTTATTTTCTATAAGACTTTGCATATAACTTTCTTGTAAACATAAAGTAGTTGCAATCCATTGTTGAAGTACTTCTCCATCTAATTGCCATTCAATAGAATGAGATATAAATACATTCCATAAATTATTTGAAACACTAGCATTTTTTAATAAACAGAAATGTAATACGTTAATAAGTCTTTTAAGTAAGTAATAATAATATTTATTTTGTTTTGTTTTAGAAATAATTTCTTTTCTATCAGAATGAAAATATGCAAATACAGTAACAAAAATACCATATACACAACTCAATATCCATTCATTAAGTTCTTTTCCATACTGACTATCAATTAACTTATAAAATATATCTACTACTATAAGACAATACTCTGCATGACTTTCAATTTCTTTTTCATCATTTTTACAATTAAGAAATGGTAATGTTAATTGACCAAGAATTATCTTTGCACATTTAACATATTCTTCTTTTAAATATTTTGGTTTATTAGTTTCTTTAACATCTAACCATTTTCCATACATTTCAGCAATTCTTATTATTTCTTTTTCAGTCTTACCATAAACAAACATATCTGCTAATGTTGATAATATCCATACCATTTTCCCTTCACAGTCAATACACTGTAAGTTATTTGAGGATTTTAATGAGTCTAATGTTGTTGTCATTATTTCTACTTTTTTATCTTCATCAAGAAATGAAAGTACATTATAATTCATGTTGTGTTGAGCCAGTCCAAGGTCTTCAATAGTTTGAATAAAGTCATTCCAATCTGCCTCAGGAAATCGGGTGCTCATCTAATAAATACTTAGAAGTTCATTATTTAAAGTTTTTATTTCTACAGAAGAAAAAGAGGAAATCTAAAAAATATTAATAAAAACACTAAAAAAACAATTTAATAGTAAAAATGAATTTTAATGAAAATACAGAAGAAAAGATTCCTCAAACAGTAATATTAACAGAAGAAGTTAATTTAGGATTTGGTGTATGTAAATGTATCGAATTTCTTAAAACACATGGAGGGGTAGATGATGGAATAAAAGAAGATGATGAGATTGATCTTGATAGAGTGGATGATTTAGGACGAACCATCAAACCATTAGAACAATACAGAATGATGTGTCACAGGTTTCATGGAAAAAATCCAAGCAAAAATAAAATCAAAAGAACAAATAAGTTAAGAGCACAAGACATTCTAAAATTAAGAATGTCATTCCAAGACACTCCATTAGGAATGATTAACACTGCTAAAAAACTTATGATAGAACAACATAAACCATTTCTTGATGTCAAATTAGAAAAAAAATAACTTCAAATGAATTAAATTAATAGTTTTTGTAATTATATCATTTTTAATCTTTCAATGCATTCATACGTGCCAATAAATCATCAACATCATCACTCTTACCAACTGGGTTTGAATCAGGAATTGGTGCAAAAGTTCCAATAGATTGAAATTGTTGTGGTTGTTCTTGGGTTTGATTAAAGGAAGGAAACTTATTGGTATTTTGTTGAGTTGGTTGACCAAATGATGGGAATGTATTTTGATGTGAAACGATTGGAGTATTGAAGGTTGGGAATTGGTTTTGTTGTGGTTGTTGTTGAATAGGTTCAAATGAAGGAAATTTACTATCATTATCTATAGAAGGAAATTTACTATCATTACCTATAGAAGGAAATTGATTTTGTTGTTGAGGAGCTCCAAATGAAGGGAATTTATTATCATTGTTTATAGAAGGAAATTGTGGTTGTTGATAAGAAGCATCAAGTGAAGGGAATTTATTATCATTACCCATACCTGAAAATTGATTTTGTTGAGTTTCTTGTTGTTCAAAAGTAGGGAATCTGTTATTGGTTTGATTCATAGAAGCAAACCGAGAATAACTATCAGTCGTATTTTGTTGTTGAGACTGAACAAATTGGTTTTTTTGAAAAGAAATAGGGTCAGCTGTTGGGACACCAAAATCTTTTTGTTTTTCAGGTTGAACTCCTTTAGGTTTCAATGCTTCAAGAAGATTATTAACAATTTTTTCAGAGATGTTGTTCATATTTCGATATTTCTTATATAAGCGTTGATCAACAGTATCTTCTGTTGTCTCTGCAATTAATGTAGTTCCAAATTGACCAACAAACATTTTTTTTATATCAACAAGTTCTTTAATATCTTCGAGTCGTTCAGAAAAGAACACAACACTTCTAATTTCAACATCAAGAGATCGTGGTACTAGTCCACATCTTGGTAATGTCGTTGAGTATTGAACTAAAGCATTTATCATTTTAACTAACCCCTCATAAATATCAACTAAATACTGATTATAAATCA